ATAAAAGACTGTTAACATAAGAAATCCCAAAACAAAAGCATTCAATGATGTTATAATGAACTTGTATAAAGTCTAGAGAAGCATTTCAATGATTTTATAATGAACTTGTATAAAGTCTAGAGAACCATTACTCTTTTTTGGCCGTCCTAGAACACCATCATTCAACAAAGGAAAATCACATCTCTATGAGAAGATAAGTCTCTGTTTTATTCAATAGTTATATGAGACGATGGTTTCGATCAGACGCTGACTTGCTCCGCTTACCATTTTCTCCCCTTTCCATTGTTGCTTTCACTTAGCCTCATGACCTGCAAAATTGAATAACAATCGTTAGGTCATTCTGTTTCAGATTAAATTCCATTTTGAATACCCACTATATCTGTATGTATGTTTTTCTCCTCATATTAAAAATAATTAATTTGCACATTTACTTCGTCGAATGTAAATGTTTCAAAATCCATGGTGGTTGTTATATTTTCTATTTTTATTCCAATAGCATATCTCTAATATTCGTTTTATAATACATGTCTGTGAAATACATATCTCAAGTTCAAATTTGCATTCCCAAATGTGACCTAAACATACTAATGGATGAGTATATTTTTACTTGGATAAAGCAAGCTACTTGACAGGACTTGAAACAGGCCCTTGAGTTTGAAAGCAATATCAGAATAGAATGAAAGGTGCATCAAGTTAACTGTTTGATTATGATAAATTGAGTTTTTCTCATTTTCTGAATCAAATTTCTCACATGATATAGTTTGAGTCTGATTGATTCTGTTTCTGGATAAAAAATACCCCGAATCTATACCTTGGTAGGAGGTCCATAATTGAGAGGTCCATAGTTGAATGGACCAGAGGTTGGTGTCTTCATCTTCACCTGCTGAGCTTCAGGCTTCTTCAGAACAAAACCATTCAAAGGAGATTAATCAACAGGGATGTTCATAAAATAAAAATGGCATATATATTCTTTAACAAACAATCTGATTTGTACTACTCACAGAATTCATGTCCAACAGAGGAAAACCCCAACCTCTTGAGCATCAATTTCTTCTCTAGCTTTATTTAGTACCTCTGGATGGTTCAGTAAATCAAACGTTGCCCATTCTAATGTCACCACAGATATATCTGTTCCTGAAAGAATGAAAGTCATAACAAGCCCTTTTATGATTTCATCAGTGTAATA